TCTGTTCCAGAGCTGTGGAAGCAACATGCTGCTGTTGAGGTACTGTCAGCTGATGATGCATGGTCACGTATGAAAGTCTGAAGGAGAAATTGAGATTTCCTGTGTTTTCTTTAGGACTACATTCAAGAGACAATAGCACATTGGAGGAGCTGCAACATTGACGTGCTGCTGTGTCCTGTGATTGGACCAGCCTACAACTTCTTGTACTGTGGCAAACTTTCAAGTATGATTTACTCAGTATGACAGACAACTTAGTTTCTGTGTCTATCACTTTGTTTTCAAAAAAATGTAATTACAGGACTTTAAAGATGTTTAAAGTGTGAAGCAAAAGTCACAAATTAGATCAGATATTGTTACTTTAATAGTTTCAGAAAATTACAAAAATATGTAAAATATAAAAGGCAAAAGATAACAGTAACTAATAAAAAAACACTTTATTTTTTCAGTTTAATTTTTATTGTGTTTAGTACTTCTATTTGTAAATGAAGTTTAGCTAAAGTGTAATTCATGTTGTAGTGGATTCAGAGGGTTTCATCACCGGGGAACCGGATAGACATGATAAAAAAAAAAAGAATGACAGTGTACAAAACATGTCTGTGAACTCAGTCATCCAGGTCACTGTAGTCTAAGGAGCTTGGAAAGAAAAACGTCATTGCTGCTTGTGACTTACACCCGTTTTCACACCTTGGATGGTGTGATTAGGTATAGGATCAATGGGTGGTCCATGACCCTCTTGGGGACACTCCCATGGGGCTTAAAATCTGGGACTCTCCACCAGCTGCTCTTGGAACTGAAGAAGCTTCTTGAATGAGAGGTGAAACGTCTTCAAGAAACCTAAAGAAGTCCAGACACTTTTATTTCCAAGCTCCTTAGTGTACAAAACAGTTACACGTTATAATACAACTGAACTTTGAAAAGAGGAAAAAAGGAGACATTTCATCAAAGATGAGGACGACTCTCCAGACATTACTTGCTTTAAAAAGTAACCTGGGTCTGGATATAGAGCAATGCATTAACTAAATTATATTTAAATTAAACAATAATTGCATTTGTAAAGGCTAAGAATGGTGTTTATGTTTCTTTATTTTTGTTTTCTACACTTTCAGCTGCTGCCAGCTACACGATGCTCTACAATCTCCTTACCTTTCCTGCGGGTGTAGTCACTGTTTCCACAGTGACCACAAAGGATGAGGAGGAACTCAAGCACTATAAGGGCTGTTATCAGGACATGTGGGACAAACTCTTCAAAGAGGTAGGCAACATGTACCAGTGAGATAAGACTGAGTGAGAACATAGAGCCAGGTTTACTAACACGTTGTGTCAGGACAAACTTTTGGCATGAGAAAAAAATAGATTTTTCCAAAGCGAGTGCAGTAAGAAGACTTCAGTTAAGAAGTGGGGGCTCAGAGACTTTTGTAAATGATCCATTTGCACGTGTTTAATGTTTATATCCACGCTGTAGACTGCCTCACTATTTTCCTCTTCTGGCATATGAACAGTTATAATTCCAGGATTGTAAACAGCAAACGGTTTTCAGCACATCAACTGTGCTCCAACAACCATTACTTATTACTGGTGGATCTACACATATTCAGCTGCATGCACTTTGACAATACGTGAGATCACAGATAAACACATGTACACACATGACTTCCCCATGAATTCAGCAAATCCGTTTTTTTTTTCTAGGTAAACACCTTTCAGCACTATTTGGGGATTGTGCTCTTTTGCCCTGTTTAGTAAATTACACATTTAGGTGGTGCGTTCAGCTGCTGAGCATTAAGTGACAGGAGTGTGTTTTTGTGTTCAGGCAGTGACCGGTGGCGAGGGTCTACCTGTGGCGGTTCAGTGTGTTGCTCTGCCGTGGCAGGATGAGCTCTGCCTGCGCCTCATGAAGGAAGTGGAACAACTGGTCAAAGAAAGCAAGAAGTAAAGCTGCTTTCTTTCTCAGTCTCACAGGAGAGGCTGCAGACTTGAGAGGAGACACGTTAACTTGAGTATTTCCTGTAATAATGAGCTAATTGTGTGATAAATAGTGGAGTATTCTCTACACTACAAGCTTAATCTGGGCACTTTTTGTTTTTTGGCTGTTTGTTGAAGGTTAAATAAAAGGTAATTGGTAAAATTACACATTTTTTGTTCTTATTGTTGTAGCTCTTTTGTCGTATTACCATCCATTTCATGTAATAAAGTATGAAAAGGCACTAAAAGCCTGAAAACTGGAAGCATGTCAATATTAGGCAAAGAGACAGTGCTAGTACATGTGTAAAAATGTTAAGAATTAGCATTAAATAATAAGTATGTAAAGTAATATTACTGTTTGTGCACATAATTCTACGATTTACATTGTATACATATACAAATTAGTACATACTACAGTTGCTTTTGTTTACAACAACAAACTTTATTTATATAGCACATTTAAAACCAGTGGTGTACCAAAGTGCTTAACATACAAGAGGGTAAGATGAAGTAACAGGGAAGGATGAAGGCTTGTTACGACCCGTCTAGGGCCAGGCAATAACATGAGTGAGGCACTCGCTTCCCACCCCAAGACCCAAGCAGCCACAGGAAACAAATCTGTTCGTTATAATGTGATTTATTTACAAAGTGAAAAAAAGGAACAACAAAACGGGAGTGTCAACACTTCAGGGTGAGCCAAGGCCAAAATAATAAACAAAAGCAAATCTACACAAATCCCACTCCCCTGACCTTACCAAACCAAAGTCAAAAGTAAAGACAGAGTCTGACCTCCTTAACTAATTCAAAACAGGAAAAAACGGGTGATCAAAAGAAACGGCAGCTCACCCATACCCACTCCACTTCCACAACTTTTAAGCCGCACAAAGTAGTGTAACTGTGGCAACCGCTGGGTTGCCACAGTTACACTACTCTGTCATGAGAAACGCGAGGACCTCTCCTGCCGTACCACTCCAGACTCCTTTTAATGGGCGGGTCCTCCAGCTGGAACCAGTCACGTCGGGGCGGTGTATCCACGCACCAATCGGAGCAGGGCCCTGGCACAGCTGAATTAACATAAAAAGGTACATCACCTGCACAAAACAAACACATGAACGTGCAAGTTCGTAACAGGCTATGGCAAAGTACCAACATGCTAGCAGGTTAAATGGCATTAAAAACATAGAAGCAAAAAAAAAAGGAAAAAAAAGCATAAAAGAACAATATATGTAAAGGATACAACAGTCAAAAATTTTAAAAATGATTAAAAGTAGTTAAGAATAGTGATGGGCAGATGAAGCTTCATGAAGCACTGAAGCTTTTCATCCAATTGGTTCATCCCAGCGCAAAGCTTCTTGAAGCTTCATTTGCTCTAGTAGGACACCTACTGGACGTAAAAATATTAGTTGGCATGAATTTGAAGAGAGTGGCCTTTTGCAGACAGCCTGTAAATGTCAATGTTATGGCCCTGTCCATAATCTGTTTTGGTGGCTGTTGTTGTCTGTGCCTTTAAGTCTTTGCAGGTCCCGGAGTGGATGAGCTGACGGCTGCTGATTGGTCCCCTGGCCATGTGATCTTCTTCAAATCCCTCACCAGCAGTTGTCCTGGGGCAGCCACTGACAGCAGCAGCAGACCTGACCCTGGCCTCCAAAACCTGAGACTTTTGTGCCTGTGATTTTTGCGGCCTTTCTGAGTTTTGTATATAGTGTGTATATTAGCTTTCATTGTACATAGCACATTGTAAATAGCACTGCAACAGAAGGGGTGAGCTGCCGTATTGTTTTTCCTTGCACTGTTTTCTCCTGTTTATTTCAGTTAGGGAGTTAGGTGTAGCGCTTGTCTTTTGTTTGATGTTTGATTTCACATAGGGTTTTAGATAGCACCTCCTCCTGACTTAGCTTGTTTTGTTTGTTATCTCTCG